TCATCCGGGTGCTACGAAGATGTATCGTGACTTGCGACAATATTATTGGTGGCAGAGGATGAAGAAAGACATAGTGGAGTATGTGGCTAGGTGTTTGAATTGCCAGCAGGTCAAGTATGAGCACTAGAGGCCTGGTGGCCTATTTCAGCAGATGCCTATACCAGAGTGGAAGTGGGAGCGCATTACTATAGATTTTGTAGTTGGCTTGCCCCGGACCTTGCGGAAGTTTGATGCAGTATGGGTCATCGTGGATAGGTTGACCAAGTCGGCACACTTTATACCGATTGTGACTACTTATACTTCGGAGAGACTGGCTCAGATTTACATTCGGGAGATAGTCCGGTTACATGGTGTGCCTGTTTCCATCATATCGAATAAAGTCCCTCAGTTCACTTCTCATTTCTGAAGAGCTATTCAGGGTGAGTTGGGGACCCGCGTGGAGCTTAGTACAACATTTCATCCACAAACCAATGGGCAGTCGGAGCGGACAGTTCAGATCTTGGAGGACATGCTTAGAGCATGTGTGATTGACTTTGGAGGACAGTGGGATCAGTTCTTGCCTTTGGCAAAGTTTGCTTACAACAACAGCTATCAGTCCAACATTGAGATGGCTCCATTTGAGGCTTCATACGGTCGGCGGTGTCGTTCTCCTATCGGGTGGTTTGAGCCGGGTGAGGCTAAGTTATACGGTATAGATTTGGTACAAGATGCCTTGGACAAGGTAAAGTTGATTCAAGAGAGGTTTCGCATAGCTCAGTCCAGACAGAAGAGTTACGCAGATCAGAAGGCGCATGACGTATCATTCATGGTTGGCGAGAAGGTTCTCTTGAAAGTCTCGCCAATGAAAGGCATGATGAGATTCGGGAGGAAGGGCAAGTTGAGCCGAAGGTTTATTGGCCCCTTTGAGGTGTTGAGACGAGTTGGGGAGGTTGCTTACGAGCTTGCTTTATCCCCCAGCTTATCGGGAGTTCATCCGGTTTTTCATGTATCGATGCTTCGGAAGTATCATGTCGACTTGTCCCATGTGTGAGACTTCAGTACTATTCAGCTAGATGAGAGTTTGGGTTATGAGGAGGAGCCAGTTGCCATTATTGATAGACAGGATCGCCAGTTAAGGTCCAAGAGAATTTCTACGGTGAGGGTCCAGTGGAGGGGCCAACCAGTCGAGGAGGCAACCTGGGAGTCCGATGAGGACATGCGGAGCAGATATCCACATTTATTCAGCAGCTCAGGTACTTTTCTATGTCCGTTCGAGGACGAACGTTTGTTTAAGAGGTGGAGAATGTAACGACCCGACTAGTCGTTTTGCTTTTCAGAACCCCGTTCCCCTAAATAAAACTCCCCACGCTTGCTTTAACTAATTTACGACCTACGGGGAGGGTTGGTTCGGGATTTGGAAGGAATTGGGTTGAAATATGCTCATTTGATTTCTTAAGATTTTCTTAAAAGTCTAAGTTTGACTTTGGTTAACTTTTTTAGTAAACGGACCCGGATTCATATTTTGACGGTCCCGGAGGGTCCGTAGGTAAATATGGGACCTGGGCGTATGCCCGGGATCGAATTCCGAGGTTCCCAGCCTGGGTAATGAATTTTTATTAGAAATTATTAGATTGAAATTCTAAGAATTTAATGAAAAGTAATAATGCTTGATCATGTTGGTATCGGGCCCGTATGTTGGTTTTGGAGCCCGGTACAGGTTCAATATAATATTTTCGTCTTGTCTGTGAAATTTGGTGAGAAACGGGACTGTTTGACGTGATTCAGACGTCTGGTTGTAAAGATAAGAATTTGAATATTCTTAAGGATTTCATGCGTTTTGGTGTTGAATCCGTGGTTTGAGGTGTTATTTAAGCGATTTGATCGATCGAGCAAGTTTGTACAATGTTGTTGGACTTGTGTGGGTGATCGGAGTGGAGCCCCAAGGGCTCGGGTGAGTTTTGGGTATGGGCTGGGGGTGAAAAACATCCCAGTTTTTTGGTGTTTCTGTGAGAAATTGCGGTCTCGCAAATGCGAGGAATTTGTTCGCAATTGCGACCTCACATTTGCGAGGAAACCACCGCAATTGCGATGAAGGCAGCAGGTGGGCAGCGTCGCATTTGCTACAATTGCACTGCAATTGCGAACCCTGCAGGGTCCGCATTTGCAATCCGAGGATCGCATTTGCGATGAAAGCAGGAAGGGAGCCAGTTCGCAATTGCAAAGATTTTGCGGCAATTGCGAGTTCACATTTGCGAACCTCATGTCGCAAATGCGACATCGGAGACCTGGGCACAACTTTTAAAAATGGGACTTAGGCCATTTATTTCATTTTATCTCTACACTTGGGCGATTTGGGAGCTTTCAAAGAGGGGATTTCAACATAGCATTGTGAGGTAAGTTAATTCTACTTTATGTGAGTTTAATACTTGGATTTTGGGTAGATTAACATACAAAAATTTATGAAACTATGGGATTAGAGCAAGACATAGGGTTTTGATAAAAGTTAGATTTAACCACGAAATTTGTTATGAAATGAATTAGAAATCATATATTATTGATCCTTAGGTTATAGAGAACAACTTCCTTCGAAAAATTTCAAAATCTGGTCACGTGGGTCCGGGGTCGGATTTTAGGAAACTTGTATTTAAGGTTGGAAAATTGCTTAAATAGCTAGAATATGATCTTGTGAGCTTATATTGACTAGTTCCTGCCTTATTTAACTAGTTTTGGATCGTTCGGCTCCATATTGAGGGTTTGGGCTCGTTCTTGATATTGGAAGTACACTTTGGAGCGAGCTAAGTCTCCTTTCTAACCTTGTATGAGGGAATTGTCCTTGTAGGTGTAATAATTGAATAATTTGCTACTAAATGCGGGGCTACATACACACTAGGTGACGAGAGTCCGTGCGTAGCTACTATTATGTTAATTGTCCGGGTAGCCTAGGGCCCATATCATGCTATATTTGTGAATGTCTCTATATTTTCTTGTTAATGTGATCACTTAAGATATGCTAGAGACTTGGAAAGGAATATAAGCGAATGTATACACTTGTTGGACACTTGTATGAATTCGTTGGAAAATAAATGCGCCTTCATGTGTTTTTCTTGATATTAATTGATATTTGTGGATCAAGCCGATCGCCTCGGTAGAAATAAATGCATCTATGGTTCGCGCCATTCGAACCTCTGGCAGTGCATAGTTTATTTTTTGTTGGATCGGGTCGTCGACCTCGGCATAATGTGCGCATGATATCTACGTAAACTTTTATCCATGACTTGTTCTGCCAAATATTTGAAATGTAAATGCCTAACCGTAAAATTGTTATGAACATGACTTATTACCTCTTGCTATAAACTGTTGATTATTTGTGACTCCTATGCTTAGCATACTACTTTATTATATTATTTGACCTTAATAAGTATCAAGTCGACCTCTCGTCTCTACTTCTTCGAGATTAGACGGGATATTTACGGGATACATATTGTTTATGTACTCATACTACACTTTTGTACTTAATTGTACAGGAACTGAGGCAGGTACATCTGGCTGTTAGTCTGGTGCGTGCCCCTGATTCATAGTCCGAGACTTCGACGGTGAGCTGCCCCTTCCTGTGCCGTCCAACAGCTTGATGGAGTCTTTCTTTACTTTTGCTGTCTATTCTGTTTCGGACAGTAGGATAGTTTTATTGTTTTGTACATTCTGCTAGTTGCCCACTACTTGTGACATCAGGTCTTGGCACACACATTAGCAGACTTTTATTTTGGGGTTGTATGATTACTTTTGGCACATTGTTGTTCATTTCTGGTTTTAACTTTAACTTAAGGAATTACTGCACTTATTTTTGGTAAAAGTAAAATGAGAACTTAATTATATTTCCGTGTTGGCTTGCCTGACAATGGTGTTGGGCGCCATCACGATCTATTAGGGAAATGGGTCGTGACATTTATTTTTCTTCGTCTGGGCATTATGGAGTGATAATGTATTGCTAATATAGATGATTCTTATGAAATTGATTTTATTAAACCTTACTACATATTTTAATAAGAATTTAATAGATAAAATTTTATTGATTTCAAAATCTTAAATATTTAAAAAATTAATGTAGAAGGTATTTAGTCCAAAAAATAGGTTATTAATGTTAGTCTTTTTTCTATGAGTTCTTCTGTTTAATATTTTGGGGTATTTTGGTCTATCGATATTGTATTTGTGCTTTTATAAAAATATATATACTCTCTTTTTTCTAAATGGATTTGGACAATATAATACATTCTCAAATTAAATTAGTAATAGGACAATACAATATTTTCAAATTAAATTAACAATAAGAATTTTTAAGAAGTATATCCTAAAAGTAATAGAATTACACGGCTAAAAATATGTCTCAATCGCGAAAGTAATTATACTAATAATTATGTAACATTTTCCTAAAGGTATTGGGTTTACATGCTAACATGTAGTATTATATGTTTATGCCCGAAAATAATTATATGATTTCTGCATCTGGGTATTTTGAAGAGTTTGTGGGAATAGTGTTTTATAAAATATAGAAAAAGAATAAAAAATAATGATATGAACTCCTATTCAAGTTGAGACATTAACGAACAATTTCCTGTGCAAACAATAATTCTTCGACCACACTTTATTTTAGACTTGAAATATCACTTAATTTTAAATTCTAAAATTTTAACTTTTGACATTTTATCCAACGATAGAGTTATTTAGCGAAAGATATCTTAACAGTATTTTGGTTTACCAACATTGTATTCGAAAATATTGCATTGGAATCTTGTCATGTAGGATTTTTAACGTGCAATATTATATCCTAAAACTAATAGGATTATAAGGCTAATATTTAGAATTTCGATTATATCCTTTTATTATGAATTATTATGCTTAATATTATAAAGTTATTTTTGTAAAACGATATTATATTTATATTTTTATAATAATATAGATATAGATATATATATATTTAAACTACAAATTCTTTGTTATAGGTGGGCTAACAAAACCACGTTCAAAACAAAACAAGTTATACGGAGTACAAAGTAAAACAAAAGAAAATTTTGAAAAAACCGCGCTTCCCTTTCTCTGGATAATGGAAGCTTTGTTTGTTTCTCAGTCATGCTAGCAAAGCCGAACTTCTTACATGTCCGCCTACGTTTGCCTTTCTCAGAATTTGCGCTTCCAAATCTTAAATACTCAACTTCTTCAAACACCCTTTTGAACGCCGGCGCTAAAACAAACAAATTCTTGATTTATTGTAACACCCAGATCGCAAATAATGGCCGAAACGGAAACATTAAAGAAGCTGAATCCATTTTCAACCGTATGGCCACCAAAAATATCGTTTCTTGGACCGCAATGCTTACGGCATATTCCCAAAACGGGCAACTCAAGAAAGCTCGTGCACTGTTCGATGAAATGCCTGAAAGAAGTGTCGCTTCGTGGAATGCGATGCTGACGGCTTATATGAGAAATAGAGTTGAAATTGATGGGATATTCAGTTTTTTTCAGCTGATGCCGGAGAGAAATTCGGTGTCTTTTGCTGCAATGATTACGGGGTTTGTTAATGCAAGGAGGTTTGATATGGTGGAGAATTTGTATAATCAGACTCCTATGGTTTTGCGGGAACCTGTTTGTTCGAATGTATTGATAAATGGGTATTTGAAAGTTGGAAAGTTAGACGATGCAGTTCGTGTTTTTGATGGTATGGTTCGAAAAGATATTGTTTCTTGTAGTGCAATGATTGATGGGTACTGCAAGAATGGGAGAGTTATTGAGGCTCGGGAGTTGTTTGATGCGATGAAAGAGAGGAATGAGGTCACTTGGGGTGCTATGATTGATGGGTATATGAAAGTTTGTTGTTTCAAAGGTGGGTTTGAATTGTTTCTAAGAATTAGAAGGGAAGGTGATGTGAGATTGGAGCCTACTATACTAACGATCATGTTTGAAGCTTGTGGAAGATTTAGTAAACATCAACAAGGTTATCAAGTCCACGGATTGGTTTTCCGTTTGGGATTTGAGTTTGATGTTTTCTTGGGTAATTCACTGATCACTATGTATTCTAGATTTTGTTGTGTAGATGCAGCTAAACGTGTGTTTGATTCGATGTTAAGGAAAGATGTCATTTCGTGGAATTCTCTTATTACTGCTTTTGTTCAAGCTGGAAATCTTGAAGAGGGATATGAGCTTTTCAAAAGGGCTCCGGAAAAAGATGTTGTTTCTTGGACAGCCATGATCACAGGGTTTTCTGAAAAAGGGTTGACTGAAAGATGTGTTGATCTATTTGCAATGATTCCCGAGAAAGATGATGTTGCATGGACAGCTCTTATCTCTAGTTTTGTAAATAAAAGGGAATATGAGGAGGCTTTTCGCTGGTTTATTAAAATGCTTCAAAGTGAAGTTAGACCAAATCCTCTAACTTTAAGTAGTATGCTTAGTGCTTCAGCTGGTCTGGCAATGTTAAATCAAGGTCTGCAAATTCATGCTTATGTTATGAAAACGAATATGGAGATAGATCTGTCTATCCAAAGTTCTCTTATCTCAATATATTCCAAGTGTGGAAGTTTAAATGATGCCTACAGGATCTTTAAGCTCATAAGTTTCCCGAATATTGTTTCTTTCAATGCGATGATTACTGGATTTGCCCAAAATGGCTATGGCAAAGAAGCAGTTAAGTTGTTTGACCAGTTGCAGAATGAAGGTGAGCAACCTAATGGTATCACTTTTCTAGGGGTACTTTCAGCCTGTATGCATGCTGGGCTCGTAGAAGAAGGATGGAACTACTTCAAATCCATGAGATCATTATACAACATTGAACCGGGGCCTGATCATTATACTAGCATGGTTGATATCCTCGGACGAGCTGGTTTACTTGATGAAGCAGTTAATCTAATAAATTCAATGCCATTCAAGACACATTCTGGGGTTTGGGGTGCTCTTCTGGCTGCCAGCAAGACTCACTTGCGTCTTGATCTTGCAAAGCTTGCAGCTCAAAGGATTTTGGACTTAGAACCAAGTAGTGCAGCTCCGTACGTGGTCTTGTCAGACCTGTATTGCATTGTTGGAAAGAAGAAAGATGAGGAACAAGTTAGGCTGGCAAAGAAATTGAAAAGAATAAAGAAATATCCAGGTTGCAGTTGGGTTTTGTTGAAAAACAGCGTTGGTTTATTTCTCTCCGGAGATCAGTCCCATTTGAACTTTGAAGAGATCAGCTGCACATTGTGGACAATTTTGGATGAAATGAAACAATTAAGTTGCATAGACCATGACCTGTTACCACATTAAAAAATGATAATTAGTGTGAGAGAAGGATGTCCTCAATTATAACGCTTTTCCACCCACACAACTAAAACGAGACTGTCATTTGCATGCCGTATATCCATATGTTTTTCTTGGATGGTTGAAGAGGATAATTGGTGTATTAGCAAAAGCTGTAGATATTTTAAGATACCAGTTTGGGTTCTATAGTCAAGTGATGCCTTCTGGAAGAAATTTAATGAGTTTCTAAAGGGCATTACCAGACATTCTCCATTCTGCAATGTTTGGCAAGTGGAAGTATAAAAAGATTGCCATCCTGACTTATTGAATCACTGAGATGATAACATGTCAATAGGTCCAAGGCCTGCTTAATTGAAAGGTGTTAGTAGTTATTATCGCTTGCATGGTCCTCCTGCTAAGTTTTTGAAGGCAGAGTTACAGCATCATGTACAGCTCTCCCATCTGAGAGGTTGCCCCTTTCTCCCTGGTTAGTTTACTCATTCCTAGTGCCTACATTTTCTATTAAATTTTGAAAATAGAGAGGTAGAGTTAGGAGCTCAACATCGGAAGAGCACCCTTCTTCGCTTTGGGAAATTTGAGTTAGCTATTGTGGTTTTTATCCTGCAATTTAATCACTCAATTGGATAGTGATTATGTTCCTAACTTAAAATCTGTCTATACATTTTGAAGCTGCAAGTCTGCAACCTTTTTTCTTAACCAATAAGTAACTTTATTTTGTAAAGTATAGGGATTATTCACAGCATAACATTGTAGACAGGAATTATTCACAGCACATGCATAACCTTAGCATCCTTGAGATTGGTAGTAGCTGCAATAAAAAACAGACAAAAATGACAGTACACACTTTAGCTAATTTCCACATCCACCTTTACAACCATCATCCCTATCTCCAGCATATTTGCTGCTACACCTCCACTGCAGTCACTTCCTCTGTATCATTATTGATGAAAGCTACTGTGGCAGCTACAGCAGCAGATGCCCCTAAAATAACCATTCCACCATCTTCTGTTACACTGCTTTTGGGTCTTTCACCATTTTCAAGCGTCACGACATGCTTGTAGAGAAGGAAAGCCTTGACGTAATTGGTAAAGTTGTTGTCATGTGATCAGGAGGTCACGGGTTCGAGCTGTGAAAATAGCTTCTTACAGAAATGTAGGATAAGACCCCGGACCTCTTGCATCGGGAGCTTAGTGCACCGGGCTGCTAAAAAAAACGACATGCCGGTAGAGGAGATACAGAGGATTCATATTTCTTGTCACGTTGCAGCGCCTTTTCTTTCCACCACAATGGACAGAAAACAAAATCAACATTGGCAGCATCAGAGCTGCGGATGGTCAGTGCAGTTACATATGCTTTCTCTGCATTTGATCCGCAGATGATCTAGAAATGTGTAAATTAAAACCATAATTTCAATCTACTACGTATAAACTAAAGTCATGCAAGTGAGAACATTTTGTTGAAGTCTAGAAGAAGAATAATTGACATCTCTCATCTAATCTTATAAGAAGTGATTAAGGTAAGTATTGTATTTAGGAAATTACATACTTTTCTTGAAAAGATTTAAGATAAAGCTAATGGATTAATTTTAGCAATAGTAACATCATGCGTCATTTGTTTTTGGGATAATACATAAATATCCCTCCCACTTGTCCTGTTTTTCATCTGTACACCTCAATTTTGCTGCGTCTTATTGTCCCGTAAATTATTTTGAGTGGTGTTAATATCACTTTTTCACTTTATTTTCATAAACAAATCTTTTTCCACTACAAAACCCGCAGAAACCTTCGAGCAAAACTACAACTATACATAATACAACCACATTTTCAACTATCAAGAACTTCTTTTAATATTTTTTTTCTCTTCTTTAACGGAGAGTCCAATTATCTTGACTTTGACATTTCTATCAAAACAAGCTTTAAATATAATATGAGCGAAATTACAACTTGAAATTGGAACATTAAGTACTAAAAATAGTTAATTACAATTTGACCTATTCAAAAACCTTCACCACAACCACCACCACTGCTGCTGCCATGACCACCCCCTCCACCAAAACCACCACCACTGTCACCTTGAAAGCCGCCACTACTCGTATTACATGTTATGTTGATCAGAGTAGCCATGGCAATAGTACCATCATCAGGTTGATGGGCCAAAACTCTATTCCCTTGGCTTGCAATATTGGTTCCTGCGGGAAGCTCGTCATTTTTCTGCTTCTTGCTGGAACTAAATGCACAGCAAATAAAGAAGACAAGAAACGCCACGCACGCTGGCAGGACCGAGAAAAGTATCATAACAGATTCCTCCATGTTAATTTTAACCCCACAAACTGTTGGAAAAGTTGCAAGAATAGAAGACTGCGACTTTGATTGTGAGTGTAATTATTGTCCTTAAGGAATTTATGCTTCTACTCTATCGCTGCTGGTTGTGTGAAAGAATTTCTTCAGAAGTTATAAAGAACGAAACTCAAGTTCAGAAAAATTTGTATTTCCACAAAATCACGTTGAGAATATTTCAGAGCGAAGAAAAGAAAGGAAAATGTGATTGTAGTAGTACGTTTTTAAGGAATAATATAATTAACCAGCCTTTCCTTTCTCAACAACTATAGCTATACCACTAACGGAAACAATAACAACTTGGCAGAAATTTCAAGAAGACTGCTGCCTGTTATATATTGAGATCTTTTGGTTTATGTACTTACGTAATTTCTGCATGAACACACGTATTTGCACATGAAATTTGGGAATATTAATACAACTTGATTTTTTTATTATATCCACCTTGAGCCGTCATTGACTTTCCTGAAATTTACTTTTGGGTGATAACTGTGTTTACCGTAAAACAGTGCAGTTGAATTTATAACGTGGTTTATAGACAAGCAAACTGATTTGATCCGAAAATGATAAATGAATTAAATAAAATGCAAGACTTGACGTTGTAATCGAGATAACTAGCAGATAGCTTGGTTCCGGGAGCAAGGCTTTCGTAGGCAGCAATAAGAATAACGTTAGACAAAAAAATAAAGTATTATTTAGCTTGAGAATATTGGGTAGAATAGGTTTGTCAGAATTTTCGTGTCTTACAATGGTTATTGAAGCCATTATATATAGCTATACCTAGGAACAAGGTCCTAGCATCAAACACCTCTTAAATGACAATAATGTGAGCCATTGATGAATATGTAATGGCAGGTCATGAATGCCAAAATTCTCCGTAATGCCTGTGTATTTAATACTGAGGAATATTCTTCATTGAATGTCATCTGGTAACAAATATTTGTTTGCTCCCGTTGATTATGTTCCTTTCGGGATCTATTCAGTGCCAACCGAAGTTGTTGTCCTCGGTCTTGGTTTCCACTCGCTTCATCTTCCGTCTGCCTCAGTTTCCACGTGTCACGACGTCATTCGAGCATTTAATATGAACCGATTTGACCCTATACAGAAATTTTCCCTGCTTTCCGGTGGCACAACTTTGTGTCACCGGAAAGTTGGTAAAGATTCCTTTCTTGGCGGAAAATTTTCTGAACCCTTCTAAAAAGTTTCTGACGCTTGATAAAATGCACGTCTTCTCGCATTTAATACCCCGAACACGTGTTACTCCACGATTTAGAAATATTTTCGCCAGTTCTCGAGGTAATCATAGTCATAGTTTTAGCCGCCTATTCCTTTACTTATACGTCTTATTCTTCTTCTTCTTCTTCCACTTCTCACAGTTTCATAAACTCTTCTCAACTTCTTTGCATTAAACTTCTTTCTGCTACTATTTTTCTTTGATCTTTTATTCTTCTTTAAAAAAACTCTTATCACCTATACTGATTATGGCTTCTTACACTAATTTTTCCAATAACTCCGGTCTTCTCTTCGGTGGGGGCCCGAAGAGGAGCAAAGACAAAGATGTCTATGTTGATGTTGATCCTTCCATGGCGAGCACGATCATTCCCAAATATCTCAACATAGCCTAGGACTTCGAAGAGAAGTTCCCTACATCAAACTCTCAAACATGAGCTATTGGTAAATATCCTTCATATGTTCGCCCTTCTAGTATTCCTGTTGTGAAGGAGGACTGTGACTGCCATGCTCTAAACATCATTACTCCCGATTTGGTGGAGCGAGTGACCTTTACTAAGAAGGGCTTCACGTACGTTTACACGTACCCCTTTACTTGGGGTTTGTTTTCTTTGAGTGGGGAACTTGACCCTGTGATTTTAGAATTGTGCCACCGGTACCAGGTTTGTTTAGCTCAGGTTGTAGACATGTGATTTTTGACCCTTCCCAAGATTTTTTATATTTTAGCACGTAAATATTTAATTTAGGCCTAATATAGCTATTTCAACTAATTTTGACTTTTTTTACTTTATTTCTTCACAAAAAAAAATTACAAAAATATTTTAGTTTACGCATCTTTCATAAATTTAAATAAAAAATATACAAAAATAGTAGCTTATTTTTATTTTTATATATAATCTTGAAAATACAAAAATATCCTCATATTTTAATATAGTTTAGTTCAATTAATTAAAATTAATTTTATATTTTTTATTATAATTGTATATAATTTTAGAAGGAGGAATTAGTTTTGGGTTGGTTTACCCCGTCTTTATGAATCTTGTAGTCTATTTTTTTAGCCTTTGGCTCAATTCTCTTGCCCATAATTTCCAAACCCATAACTCCTAGGCCCATACCCCTAACCTAATCTCTACCCCTATATAATAGGACCTACACCTAAATATACACACACCTAAAAACCTTACGGAATCCGTCGTTCAGCAGAAAAGACCCCACCCCCTAGATTTTTGTCTTCCTCGCACCCCATCCCCAATTCTCTGAAGAACAAAAACCTCTCCTCTTTACATATCAAGAGATCCCCTCACCCCCTATAATTTCCCTTAAGCTTCAACGACGGAGACTTCTGATCTTCATCCTCACATTCTACGAGAAATCAGCCGCAACACACACACAAAGCCATCATTGTCTCCTTCATTAGAGCATCTTGAAAACTCTATCTTCACAGCCATGTAGAAGCTCCAAGACCTCACCTAAAATCATCCCCAAAACTCCATGAAAACACTATAAAAATAAAAATAAAAACCCAGCTCAAATTCTGCCCAAAACATCGCACAAATACTGCAGCTCCAAGGTTGAGTTCGAGTCCGCTGGCGAGTTTAGGTTCGAGCGAGCTTCGGTCTTGGTTCGTGAGTCCCGAACAAGTTTTGTTGATATGATTGATGTAGAAACTTTGTACTGATTTGAACATAGGGAAATAGATTGGTTGTTGATCTCCCCGGTCATAATTGCTGGTAATTCTTTTTCCATTCTTATGCTTTTGCTAACTTGTAATTAGGCCTATCTTATCCTTTTATTTTGTGTTGTTACGCTTTTTTTTTTATATTTTTCTTGAAATGGGTATTGGCCGATTCTAAGATTGCCTTTGAAATTGAGTTGTAGAGATGAATTTGGGTAAAGGGAAATTAAAAGATTGTATCTCTTTAAGTAATCATTTTGGGTGCCGTTGATTTGGGTTCTTTGATAGATAGTTAAGAATGAAATTTTTTAAGTATGATGATAGTTCAATTTTAAAGGGGATAGCTTTCTGTAATGGCATTTAGCATCTTCATTATGGCTAAAAGGTGCAACTTTTTGGATATAGTACTTATAAGAAAGAATTGCAGAATGCAACAAAAGTTGGAACTTTTTATGCACCTGTTTTATGGTTGGTAGATCTTGTTATCTGGTTGGGTTGTTACAACTGAAATAGTTAATTGGGGCATCAAGCTAGTCACTTTATAGTTTTGACAATCTAGGTGTTTTTGGTTAGATGTAGTTTGGAGGACTGCTTATGATTTAGAGGTAGCTTAATTACTTAAATTTTTGCAGGGAGAACTTGGGTAAGAAGAGAAAGGGAGTAGATATTTCAGTTACTTGTCAAAAAAATGCGAGTCCATTCACAGTAGTCAGGTCACATTTATCGCTTGAGGATTACTCGCGAAGGAAAAAGAAATCTATGTCATTGAAAATTCTAGCTGTTGTAGGAAGAGTGTAATCATAGGAATAGTCACTTCCCCGCCTTGTGGGAGTGCACGTTCATGGTCACCTGAACGAGGTCTTAAAAGGAAAATAGGTTTCCTTGATTCAGCCATTCGTAGCTTTCTTTAGGCACAACTTAATCTATTATCGTGATTGTGTACACGTTCGCGTAGTATGATTATGATCCTAATAAATAAATCGAGGTATGTGTTTGCGCAACTTTGACCAAACTTTCTTAATAAATAAACAAAGCGTTATTAATTTTGGACACGTTTGCGTGACATGATTTTTGACGCGCCAAAAGAAAAGAATATACGTACGCGTAACTCAATTCTTTAATTACGAATAATCAAGTTATTTAAAAGTGGTTAATAGATAAATGCACATAGGTCCTGAAAATGAATATTTAAATAA